GTGATGTTTCCAATTCAGGTATCTATGTGATAGAAGTAAATGTTACTACCACTACTTCATGGGTATTAGATATCGGTTGTGGTTCACAATTTTGTTCAAATGTGCAGGGACTGACAAGGAGTAGAAGGCTGACTAAAGGTGAAGTTGACCTACGAGTAGGCAACGATGCAAAAGTTGCAGCATTAACAATAGGAACATTTACTTTGAATTTTCCCACGGGTTTAGCTTTAGAACTTGATAATTGTTATCATGTACCTGCCATTAGCACAAATATAATTCATGTTTCTTGTTTGGACAAGAAAAGATTTCATTTTATAATAAAGAACAACATTTGTTTTATTTATTTTAATGAGATCTTTTATGGTAGTGTTAGTCTTATAAATGGACTTTATGTTCAAAACCTTGAAATGTTCATCTATCACATAAATACAAAGAGGTTTAAATCTAACAACTCAAACCCAACATACCTTTGGCATTGTAGACTAGGCCATATAAATGAGAAACGCATTAAAAGACTCCATTCTGGTAGATTTCTTGACTCTTTTGATTTTGAAACAATCGAGGAGTGTGAATCTTGGTTATTGGGTAAAATGGTCAAGTCACCATTTACTGATAAAGGTGAAAGAGCTCACGGTTTATTGGAACTCATACACTCGGATGTATGTGGGTCAATGTCAACAATGGCCAGCGGAGGTTTTCAGTACTTCATAACATTCACTGATGACTTCAGTAGGTTTGGTTATGTGTACCTAATGAAGCATAAACATGAAACTTTTGAAAAGTTTAAAGAATTCTAGAATGAAGATCAAAATCAACTAGGCAAAAGAATAAAGGTCATTCGATCAGATCGAGGTGGTGAATATTTGAGCCAAGAATTTAGTGACCATCTAAGAGGGTGTGAAATTGTTTCACAACTCACTCTGCCAGGTACACCACAATGAAATGGTACAAAGGTTCGTTCTATGATGAGTGTCGTTGAACTACCAATCTCTTTCTGGGGTTATACTCTTGAAACCGCTACATTCATACTTAATAGGGCTCTAACAAAGGCTAATCTTGAAATTCATCACTCATTGTAAAAAGAAAATTGTAAAAAAATTATAAAAGCAGTATAATGTGTTACAAATATATACGCCCTCCGGTTTTTAATAAACTTCACACTTTCCTTTTTGGGACGGTCTAAAATAAACTTCACACTTCCTTATTTCCTTTTTTGGCAAAGAAATCTACATCAAAACAGTGTCAAACAGTGTCTCTACAGTGCCAAACAGTGTCAAACAGTGCCTCAACAATGTACTCCATGGTAAAGTCAAATTTCTTTCCTTATTTTGTGTGAAGTCAAAGTGTGAAGATTAAATAAAACCGGAGGGAGTACATAATAATTGTTCGATGGTAGTTAAAATTTGAATCGTGATTATATTAAGATTTTGAGTATGTATTAAAGACAAAATAAAGTTAAACGATAAAGATAATCATTTTTAAAAAATATTCATTTTGATTATATAGTTGGCATATATTTAAATCTCATTGAGATTTAAAAGTTTTACCAAAAATATAAGCTATGTATATTGAGATTTTTGGTAATACTGTATATTAAGATTATATAGTACTCGTAATTGTTAAACATAATCATTTTTTAAAAAATAAAGTTAAAACAAAATTCATAGAAATATAGAAACCCAGTTTTTTTAATTTAAAAAGCAATACAAGGATTTGCTACTTTGATGCCTACGTACTAGGATTTGAGTGTGGTGAGCTACGTAATCTTCTGTGACCGAGTTCCAGTTTAAAAGAGGACACATGGGTCCAGCACTCCAGCAAAGGGAAAAAGAGGGAGGGCGCGCCTAGTAAGTTTTGTTGTGCATGAAGCACATCCTTTAAAGTACTACCTCCTTTCCGTTAAGGTTGTCTCATTTTACTCTAGATGGTAAGGAGATACCGGTTAATGATATGTTCCGTTACTTGTGCTCCATAATTCAAAAGGACGGTGAGCTAAATGGAGAGGTATCCCATAGAATCAGAACATGATGGATGAAGTGGAAGAGTGCATCAAGATTTCTATGTGATAGAGGTATGCCGAGGAGATTGAAGGGTAAATTTTATAGGACAGCAATTAGGCCTGCTTTGCTGTATGGCGTAGAGTGTTCGGCGGTGAAACAATGTCACATTCAAAAGATGAGTGTGGCAGATATGCGCATGCTGCGTTGGATGTGTGGGCATACTAGGAACGACCACATGAGAAATGAGACAATCAGACATAAGGTGGGAGTATCACCTATTGAAGACAAGATGCGGGAGTGTCGCCTAGGTGGTTTGGTCATGTGCGTAGAAGACCGAGTGATGCACTTGTCAGACGTGTTGAGATGTGTGGAGAAGAGGCAGAGAAGAAAGGGAGAGGAAGACCCAAATAGACGTGGGTTGGGGGAGTCCGAAGTGATATGCTTCTTCTTGGGTTGGATGTGGGTATGGCTTTGGAGAGAGCAAAGTGGAGGGCAGGTATTCGTGTAGAGGAGTGATCTCGTATTATTATTTCCCTCATCCTTTTTCTTCTTGTCTTTTGTTCTTTTATCCTTGTATATATATACATTATTTTTAGCCTTTTTATTTTATCATTTTTAGGTAGTCTTGGACACAGTTCGGGCCGCCCGACCCGTGAACCGGCCCGGCCCGCTAATGTGCGGGCCCGGACCGGCCCGGTCCTTCGGTCCCAAAACCGGGCTTTGACCCGAACAGGTAGGAATAGCGGGGGCGGTCCCGGTTCACCCCATTCTTTGGAACCGGCCCGGGCGGGCCCGAGCCCGGTTCGGGCCTTCTATTTTTTTTTTGGTTTTTTTTATTGTTTTGGGCTTTTCCTGAGTTGGACTGGGTGTTTGGGGGGGGGGGGGTTAATAAGAAAAAAAACATGGACCCGACCCGGACCGGACCCGGTGGTAGCCCGAGCTGGTCCCAGGCCTTCAAGCAAAAATCAAAAGCCCGGCCGGGCCTAGACCCGACCCGGACCCGAGTCCATGACTATTTTTAGGTATATTCATCTCGTTTTATATTATCTTTTTAAAATAGTTTTTTTATCTTTATTTTCTTTCTTTTCCTTTTGGTGGTGATATCATGTATCGATTCATGTTAGCCGACCCCAATATCTTTTGAGACTAAGGCTTGGATGTTGTTGTTGTTGTTTGTCCATCCCACTAAGGCTCGAAACAGGGCCGTCTTTGGGAATTTTGGTGCCCCAGACAAAAAACCAATTTGGATAATATTTTAAATCAATAATAAAATAAAATATGAAGTAATTAAAAATTAAAAGAGCGTGATTACTATTGAATGTGCGATCATAACAAACTATAAAAGGTACGTAGTAATAATTAACATACAAATGATATAAAGCATATTTGAAATGTATATTCTTATATGAAATAGAAATAGATAAAATTATAGTCCTATAAGATTGTACGACTTCATTTTTGCTTAAATTTTCTCTCAAAAACCACATAATCTTGCTTATGTTTCCCATCATGGCAAATTAAAACTGCAACATAATAATGTAGCACTAATTATCACGGAGTATATTATTATTATACATTAACATATATAACTTATAAAGATCAAATTTGAGAATAACTCTAACAACAATAACTTTAAGTATAAATTCATAACACAAGTTTTCAAAGAAAAATCAAAATCGGTAATGATGCATATGACAATCAATTGCAACAATAAAATTATAAAAAATAAATAACTCACCTTAACAATTGTTGTGGTCTTAACTGGAATCTTGTTCTTTCAAAAAAAAACTCAAATGTTGTGAAGCCTAATTTTGATTTCACTTGGAAGAAAGAGATGAAATTATCCCTACTTATTAGAGTTATTAATGAATTACCGAATTGGAGTCTTGGTAATTGATGAAGAATTGAATTTCCGAAGTATATATAGAAACTCAATAGGCTTTGGTTTCATTGTTTTTATGTTAAATTATTATGCAATGACTTCCTGAATTGGCCTTGGATTCTATTCATTACTTAATTTGCTTTTAATTCAAGAGTTGCAAAACCAAATTAAATATGAAATGTGAAAATGTCAACATGTTGAGCAATCACATACGGAGTAGTAAATAGGCAATTGCCGTGGGGTGATGATGGATAAGTGGGCCCCTTTTATAATGTACTTGTATTTTTTGTCTTTCCCAAACTTTCTAATACGGAGTACTACGCTTTCATTTTAACCAGTACGCCTAAGAAGTAATACTAGCATTTTTAATTATAAAAAATGGTGCACTCTCCAATTGTTGTGCCCTAGGCACTTGCCTATCTTCCTAGGGCCATAGCCGGTTCTGACTCTAAATTATTCTTATTTTATTCATACTTTATCAATTCAATATCAACTACATACATAACTTTTTATTAATTTATGTGTCACTCCCTCTTGTCCCATTGTTTGCAGGACGGATGGAGTAGCACTTTATTGCACTTACCTAGATTAAACTAATCACTTTCCAAACAATATATTTGCATATCTTGTCTAAACCCACGTGCACTAAGCTCATTGTGGTTAAAGTTCAGCCTTCCCCAAATAGAGTATTGAAGTATTCTTTTAAATAACAAATGGAATCAATAACATTTTATTTAAGAAAAATGTATCTTTAAAATATTAAATCAAACGAGCACTTAATGACATCCAAGATATCTTACTAATTTACTGTTCTCTCCCACTTCCCAGTTCCCACTATTGGGTAGACCGATTCCAATTCCAGAATCATAAGGGTAAACTATCCCAACGAGGTTTCTTTAAAAAGACCGGAACTAGAAAATGGATCTGGAACCTGTCAAACTCATGATTGGTTCCACTCGACAACCTACTAGTTCCAGTCCAATTCCAATCTCGGCTCTAGGGGTCGCTGGGTCAGTGAGGGGAACCAGCCGGTGCGGAACTCTAATCGGACGGGACGTCGGGAACAGGCCCAAATCCACCCTACTGCCACCCCACCATTGTTGTCTAGCACCTCATGAAACATGTGACATTGTAAAATTACTATAAAGTACTACGTATAATATAATCTTGTTCTATATACATCTTTTCTTGCATTATAAAATTGCAACATAGGAATAAACTCAGCTAACATCCAGACGCTCAATGATTTCAAAATGCATCTGCAAATTTGGGGGCATGTTACCAAAATACAACCTCTCACGAATATGCAATCTCCCTATGTTTCTATGAGCAACTCCTTCAAGAAGTCGAAAGAGTTCATCCTTTTCTTTTCTAATCCAACTTCGCCTGACATCATTCCACTGCCTGGGGGTCCCATGTAAGAAAAACCGAATGCCAGGCGCTCCTGTATCAAATCGTTCAGAAATTTTGTCAAACACATATTGGTCGGTGATGTATGCTCCTTTACTGTTCAGACCAACATCAACGTAGTGGAACTCGGCTATGCTGTTTAGAAAACTTTCTTTGGAAGTGGGTATGATCTCGTCTTTGTTTGCTTGGGGGTCTTTATCTTCAGGGGAGTGAGCTGGGGAGAGGGCAAGCTCGGCAAGAAGCTGGTTAAGTATGATCCCGCCCTTACTAAAACCTAGGAGTATAGTCCTAGGTTTGTCATAAGAAGGCAGTGTGGACACCTCAGCAGTGAAAGGTTGTTTTAGCTTCTTCCCTGCAGTGACATTTTTAGCCTTGTAGAGAAACAATTGTCAGAGAAAATCACATATATATCTCATTGGTCACTGTGGTCAGATATAAGTATTAAATGCTAATCCAATGGTCAGATAACATTAAATCATTATGTTAACCTTTAAATTTTATAAAATATCATATTTATATCAAGATATAGAGTAAGAATGTTTTAAATTGGACAGAAATTTTCTGGTTTGGTCTACCAGGTCTCTGTTTTAGTCTGATTTGCTTTGAACTGGTCTGGCCCGGTAAATTTTTGGTCTCTCTTTATTTTATAACTGGGATTAAAAACAATCCAAGTAAAAACATCCCAAGTCCTCTAAAGCCTTCCCTTCCAAACCCTAAATGCACAGTTTCATCCACACCCCAAGGCTCTATTAGAAAATTTGTTTTTCAGAAAATAGTACATTTAGGAAAAGCACATCTGTTGGAAGAGCTATTGAAGTGTTGAACAAAAACGATAGGAGAGAGTCTGCTATAGATGGCAATAACTCATAAAAGGTTACATCAGATTTTGAAAAATATATACTTTATGCAGGAATATTCTTGAAAAAGGATAATCTAAAGGAAAAAGAAATAGCTTATCACAAACAGTTCAAGATTTGGAGCTTTGGAATTTGCAGTTCGTTTTTATAAGGCGTTTTCAAGTAAACATGTTTTTGGAGACGGGGCAAACCTGTAGTCTTCTGCTTATTTCAAGCAATTCCACCTTATCAATATTATTATTGTAATTAATTACCTCTTTCAGGCAATTCCACAAGAGCAAGACCATAGATGAAGATGCTGGGAACTCCTTTGCCTCATAAACTTTTGGCTCTCCAGAATCATTAATTGAAGGGATGAAGTCCTTGTAAACACCGAAAGGGCCATTGAATATGGGCGGTTCGACCACCCAAGCATTGGTAGTATCCCCAAATTTAGAAATCAAAATTTCAGCAACTCTCTGCAAATCCGACAGTCTCTCAACTACAGGATTCCCACTCCCTTCAACTCGATCTCCACTGAAAAATATAGCATTTGCAGCAGGTACCTAACTCATTAGCAAAAACTCAATATTTCACCATATTGTCAACGAATAAAAAACAGACACAATCCTGGTGACTTATTCAGAATATAGGGGGAGATTGAGGGTTTAATGAAAAAGACCGACTGGATTCAACTAATCAATTCAGATGAATGATAACTCGAACGGAATATACGAAGGAAGAATTGAATACAGCAAACGTGTTGGGAGAAGGAGATAGGCGGAGGGACGCCGCAACCCGGTAGTACGTTTTGATGCTGCTTGTGTACAATGGCACCTTCAGAATTCCAGTCCAGCGATCCATAAATCCAACGAAGGAAATGAGAAATCGAAAAACTGACAAAGAACTATGCCTGGAAGATGCCAAATTTGAAAGACAAGAATCAGTTTTGGCCATCGACATTATAGTAATCACAAAGAAATTTAAATAAAAATAGTGTAACAAATGTGAATTGTAATATTCAGAACAGAAAACGAAATAGAAGGTTTTACCGAACATGGGCAGGAGCAGGGTGATTCGCGACTTGGCTAAGAAGGGTGATTCAGTTCAACGCTTCACTAGCCTAAACACCAGCAACTGCGGATCGATATTCCAATTAGGTCAAGGATCGATATTCGGTTGGGGATTTCAGTCTCATCTCTGAATTAATAAAAGGGCTAATTTGAGTTTGGACTTAGTTTTTTAAAATACTAGTATTTCACTCGTGTACATGCGTTGTACGGGATGTAATATATTTATAATATAAAATTTTTAAAAATATTATATAAATACTATTTTTTTGGTAAAATATAAATACAATTATATATCATATTATACTTATCGCATGAATGGGAGACATCGTAAATAAATACGGAGTAATAACAAATATTAAAATTTACAAACACTACACATTACAAATTCTTGAAGTTCTTGCAGATCCAACCCTATCCAGCCATTGTAGTCAATTATTCAGTCCAAAAGATAATCATGTCTTAAATTGTTACAAACTCAATACTCGTATATAAGAGCATCCACAATGCTTCTATGTCTAGTCTTAAAAAAATAGGTCAAATGTCAAATAATTAATAAGCTTTCCAATACACATAATACCAAGTGCAATGACTAGATAGTAAACTACGAAAGAAGCCTCCAACGCACCACTTCTCACAACAAGTCTAATTAATGTCTACCGTACCGGTATTTGGTACTTCATATATAAAAAAATAATAAATCTTAATTTACTTCGTATTTTGTTATCGGTGGCAGACATCGAATTGAACAACGAACTCTACCATATATTAACCAATGGATGAAGTCTCATATTTCAGTTTAGGTGTTCACGTGGGAAGCAGATCGGCAATTGTCCCAACCTGTCCAAATCGTCGAGTAGCGGTATCGTCATCTTCCTCCTAGACCAGAGATTAAGGACCGAACAGATCAAGATTAGCAATGGCATGAACAGGATCAGACCCGTTATTTGCAATTAGAAACATTTTTTACTTCGGGGGATACCAATCTCCCCCGAAGTGGGTGGTAATGAAGAGGCGAAGAGGCGGAGGTTGTTTTGAGATGCAATCTGTCAAGATCAGCATGTTTAACGGGCTTTCTGCACTCACACGGTGCTCCTTCACACCGTCTAATTTCATATTGCCAACTCATCATTAGACTACATGCATTGGAAGCCAAATTTAATGTGCACTGTCTCAATTGATGACATGGCACACTTAGGGGCTGTTTATTTTTTTTTTCATTAAGTTCTGAATGGATTAAGATGTCTGTCTGCATTAAGTTGTCTGTCTGGATTAAGTGACAGTGGGATAACAAACTGTTTACTAAGTGTGCTGAATGAGAAGTCTGAATCACGTTAAATGACCAAAGAACCCTTCTATCTGGAACAAGTGCTGAATGTATATTGTCTATTTACTTGCTCTGTTCTAAAACATAATTCCAGATGCCCAAGAATAATAATGCTACGAATTATTAAAATAAAATAAAAATCGCATTACATGACAAGAAAAAGTCATTTGTCTTAAAAAGAGAACAACACTTTAAATTTAAATGTTTCCTACTAGTCTATTAGCGATTTCATTCCGCAAATTCGTCATATACTGTAAACTTTGTGTGCCCCATTGTGCTGCGTGCACTTCTTCTCCAACATCCTCAGGTTCCTCTTGTGCTTCATTGTTGGTTATAGTGTCATCTTCCCATTCTTTGAAAAAGTCATCATCAATGTTGGATTTTCTAATAAAATTATGAACCGCAAAACAAGCAATGACCACATTCCTTTGTATCGCAAATGGATAAGGAGCTATCTGATCTAAGATTGGGAACCGTGCTTTCAAGACACCATGCGTACGTTCAATCACATTCCGGAGTTGTGCATGCGCATGATTGAATCTTTCTTCTTTAGTCAATGCACGACGACGTCGATAATCTGCTAACCAATACCTTGTGTTACGATATGGAGCTAAAATCCACGAGTGTTTGCATATGCAGCATCACATAGATAATATTTATCTGTAACAAATTCCATTGTTAACTTTTTTTAATTTTAATTAAATTCATTTAGTGAAAGAATAAATAATAATGATACGCACCTTGTAGAGGAAGTGGAAAGCCGGAATTAGGATTAAATACAACTTGCGTTAGTACTCGAGAATCATGTGCTATTCCTTCCCAACCAGCCCAAACAAAAGTGAATATCATATTGAAATCACAAATTCCTAAAACGTTTTGATAACACCGACCCCCTCCTCTTCCTCTATAAATAGTTTGCTTTTCAGCGGGCACAATTGCGTGTACAAGAGTTCCATCTAGTGCTCCAATCGCTCCCTTCATAACATAATGAAAATATGTAATACATCATTTTTTAAATATAACAATGAATCAAATGTAAAATGAGAACATACCGGAAAAACCTCTCTCAAACATTTTTGCCGGTTTGACAAATTTAGGACTGAATCAGGCGTTGTTGGTACTATCATTTCTTTTGCAAATTCCATCATTCCTTGTAGAACTTCATGAAAACATTTGTGAACAGTTCGTGTAGAGTGTTGAAATCTCCTTTTATTCACTCTAAACCTCTGATTATTTACGATGGTTGTCAGAAATATAGCCATCTTTTCCTCAACACTTATATGCTTACTATCACTCAACCAATTTCTTTGTCTAAAATGGTTGCATAATAGTACATATCCGGCATGAGAGACACGCATTAATTCCACACATTGTGTATTAGAACCATCTAGTAACTCCTGTGTGTAAGCATGTCCAGTTAATGCAGAAGTGTTATCTCTTATTCTTGGCATTCTTAGAGCAGAATTTCTTCGCCTCACATAATAATACACAAGCATTAAGATTAGAAGTTGCGCCTCAAGATCCATATTAACCTTGCAAAAAACGTACAAATTAGATATTTATAAATAAACATTCCATTCTTAGATGTCACAAAATATTGCAAGTGTCATAAGAACATACAATAGTCATCCCATGAAAATACAAACTAGAGTCATAATTAATTTAAAAAAAACAAGAGTCATAAATACCAAATGTAGTCCTAAATACGTTCAAACAAACGCATGAGAAACTAACAACCTACATAAATCCTAATTTTTTCCCAATCATTTTGACCCAATTTGGAAGGAGTGCTGCATCAATTTTCATCCATGCTTCGCGATAAAGATCATTTGGATCACAAAAGATTGCGAGGGCAACTCCATACAGTGGGTCATCTCCTTCCCATCCAATCATTTTTAGTTTGTTCATGCAATCATCAAAAGTTGGTGGTTCAGGTTTCGAAGGTGCTTCGGGCTTCGCATGTTTTGAAGCAACTAAGCGAATCACATTCAAAAATTCTTCATCAATGGATGAATTTCCTTGTGTGCCCTTAGTTTTGAGCTTTTTTGATTGCTTATGGCTTGAACATTGACCTGCCGATGTAGACATAGCTTGTGCACCTTGAAACTCCACTTCTTCTTCAACCACAATTGGACCATCAGATGAAATAGGTCCATGTGGCATAGGTTCGACTGAAGTTGGTCCCCAACTCTCGATGCCCGTTGCAACAGACCCATCAAATAGTTGTGCACAAAGTTTAGGGAATGGAAGTGATGCAGTCCTCAAAGTTTCAATGTACTTATTTTTCTGTGTTAAAAAAATATGTAAAGTATGGCCGTATAGGAAAGAAATTAACAACAAAATAAATAGAGGTGTCCATTAGGCAAAAATTACCTTAATTTCAATCTCTCATTCCTCGGGCGTAAGATTAAATGTGTTGGTGGACGGATCATACACATTGCCAGTTTTATTTTTGAGGAGTAACCAGGCTCCATATTTTCCTTTAAGATAATCGTAATGATTTTTCATTTGCCTTCGATCAACAGAAAACTTATGAGTCCCATTCAAAACGTCAGCAACTTTCTTCCAAGAAAGAGCTTTCAGACTACTACCTTCCCGCCCGTTTACGGAAATCTCATGGATACACGTCTCAAGAAAGGTTTTCACCACGTTCATATTTTTCCAACTTATCCTACATTTTTTTTGCTTTTCTGATTCACCGGCCTGTTCCATACCTAAAGAATGAAATAAGTGTGTCCCAATAATTCATAGAGTGCTAATAGATGGTTAACTTTATCTGATAAACAAGTGCAAAAAAATCAGCCTACTTATTTAAGAAAAAACAGCAGCTCAAAAGGGGTAAAGACCCCAAACAATAAACACTGGAATACTAAATTTACTAAATGTCATGGGTTGAAAATCTATAATCACTAGGTCAACATAAGTTCATTGATGTAATAAATAATTTATAAGAGATAAAAAAATTAACTATTTAAAGATTAATGGACTGGACCTCATCCCTCTTAGCTTGAAAATAATCAAAATATGAGCCATTTAGAGGTTTAGAAACAAACCAAAAACATTGGGAATTAGTTAACCGAATTACCTTTTAGAAATGTTATTTGCACTTCAAGAATAATTTACAAAGTTGAAGGACACCTAATAACCCAGACAAGTACTATACAAACTTATAAAACAAACAACCTTTTTAAAAAAGTTCAACCCACACAACAGGTAGAGACTTAGCAAAATATCAACCCTTTTATTGTTTTTTTTAACTTAGAAAAAGTTCTTGATACATCATGTTTATTGTTTAGTGAATATAAAAACCCCCCATCAATGAAACTCCTTAGCTGATAAAAGTTTGGAAAAATTGTTATTACATCTGAAGACACAACGTCTTGCTTGTAGCTATAGTACTCCCTAGATATCCCCATTGCAGAGAAACGAATTGAATAAACAATAAACCTCATGCTTGGGATGGTTAGGCAGGCTATTTCCCATTTAAATCTCCGCTCTAAAGTTTATTCAGTGATTGGAGACTTTTCTTTTAAAAAATAGAAACAAAATATGACTAACAATGTGTACACAGAGATAACAAAAATTATACAATAGAGCAATCAACAGATGAACTTCTAAAGATATCCCATTGAGAGACCTTTCTCTACTCCAAAATCTAAGGTAGTTGACTGTGTGCCTCAGTTAAATATCAAATTACATGGCATTCTCAAATTCCTGATGAAATATCAGTTAAACCAACAAAAAATTGATCTTTTTTAAAATACAAGTATGATTCAAGATTTAATACAGTTGTTGTACCTTACCAAAAAATAGAGTTTGAGTTATAAATCCCTAATATCAAACCA